AAGAGGCATCCAAAGAATAAAACTGAAATGAAAACCAATGTTTTGGAGGAATGGCAAAATATCCCAGTGGAATATGTAAGAAACTTGGTCCAATCGATGAATAGACGCTTGGGAGCAGTCATAGATGCCAAAGGTGGCCAAAAAAATGATTAGTTTTAACTAAAAAGTAGTTAAAACACTATAATGAATTAATTGTTTTAGTTGTGTAAACACTTTCTTGTCAGCTGATTTTTGTTACTTCTTTTGTTTTTTGTTATTTTCTTTTGTTAATGGAAACATATTGTAATTTTTTTTACTTACTAATATAGTTTATAGTCTAATTTACCTATTTTCATTTTAAACAAAAAAAATATGCATATTCTTAATGATTTTATTTCGCTTCAAAGTAAAAAATTAAAATTTTTTCCCTATGTGTAAACACTTTCTTGCCAAACTGTATGTATATGCATATACATACGTAGACTTATGCACACTTCGATGCAGGCGTGCTACTAAAACTGTTGCTGTTAATGCCGCTGCGAGTGCGCACTATTTGCATTCCATTAATTTCTCTAGAAACGATGTGTTGAAAAGGGGGCCTGGTGGGGTCAGCTTATCAATGTCACGTCGCGAACGCCAGCAAACAGAGCATTCAGTCAATTTCACACTTTTGTACAATTCGCCATTAACATTTTGTTGTGTGCTCTTCTCAGTTTGTTTTTGCTTAACATTGCAGCAGCAGCAACAACAGCAACAGCAGCTAACAGAGRGGAAGAACGACAGCGAGCGTCTTATCGGATACGAACAATGTAGGCAGAAACAACCGGTTCTCTGTGTACTTACACACACACATACACATACCAGTTTGTTCTTTTACTTTCGCATGTGCTCCCATGTACCCATACGAGCGTATGAATGTGGCTATTTACATATGTATGCATGTATGTGAATTGCTGTCGTCATTTGTTGCTGTTGTTTGTGTATTAGCTTCGTTCTTGACTGTCAAAAGTTGATTTGGCTTAGTCACCTGCGCAATATTGTTGTTGTCACTTTCTTGCCTAGCGTATCCTATTGTTTTCTACTCACTGCCAAGTGCCGCTCCCCATTCCCACAACAACCTGATCAAACACTTTAAATTTGAATACCCGTTTAGATTTGGTATTCTAGATATAATGTTTTTAGAGTTAGAGTATATGTATATGTGTATGTTTGTATGTATGTATATGCATTTTAGGGTTATTCAGCCCTGCCCTTGTTCTTAAAGCTAGATTTACCAAAAAATATAATTTAATTTGATGTATTATTATCAAGTAAATTAAAGTTGAATTCGAAATACATATACTAATATAGTTACCATTATAAATATGCAGTTGAATCTCATATTTAATGGAATATATGTATGTTGTGTCATGTCCATCATCTGTACTTTCAGATGATCGACATCGTGAATAAAATTCTACTTACAGGGTATCTGCGCGTCTGACTCTCCCAATTAGAACACCCCTGGTTTGTTTGATTTTGTTTTGTGCGGTGTTTCTGTTTTGGTTTCTCTTCAACAGCATTCCGTGCTATTAGTTGGCTTCGAGTGAAATTGTTCCTTTCTCTCAGCATCTGTCCCTCTCCCACTCCCACTCCCACTGTTTGCCTTTGATTCGTTCATTGGCCCTAGAGCAGTTGGCAGCTAAGACAAAAAGAACAGCACATAAATTGCATTTCATCAGCTCTGCCGTAACCCGTTTGTGGGGATTTCTTCTCAACTCTTTCTTTTGCCTTTGCCTCTAGTGGTTCGTGAATAGAATCCATTTGTTAATATCTGGTATGTGTTTAGCATGGCATATCAATTAGCATACGCAGACTGGACTGTTGCTTTAACTTTCATTCTGTGCTTCCTCTCTGCATTCATCTCTCCCTCTCTCTCTCTCTCTCTATCTCGCTCGCTAACTCTGTATTTGCCTTTTGTGAAATAGCCAAGACCATTCAATATCAAAATGTTGTGTTTGCAATCTTATCTATTAGCGCGGCCAATGTATAGCCCCCATCCAACGAAATGCCAAACGTTTCAATGCCTTGTTTTAATGCACATACATACATTTATATGTACATATATACTCATTTATAATGACACACATGGTAGATTAATGCATGACTGGCTGAGAGACTAACTGAATGCTGCTGCCCCAAACTTCAATTTGTGACTCAATAAGTTTGATAATAACTCAGTCTGTAGTTCATGCCCCCACAGACACACACTTCAACTATGTTTTGTTCAAGCACTCTTAAAACACAAGATTTAATCAGTCGCAATATGTATATAAATAAAAGTCTGAAGCGGAGTTTTGCGGTTTCATTATTAATATGGAATGAAACTTAATTGGCTTTATTTTTTGTTCACAGCTAGAACAATATAACCGACTGTTTTTGGTTACTTATTCCCTGGAACCACTAGCACGGTATGAACTTCTAGAGAATCGCCTCATCTAAACAAACTGAACTAAAGTTATTTCACGAGAAAAATACCGCGATTCTGCGACAAAAATATTTGAAATGGAGCTATTCGCTGCATTTCTGACTACAACAAAAATTGAAAATTCACTTTATATAGACGTAAGGAACACGTATGAAACACTGTACAAGATTCAGTAAACAAGTGCAGCTGACTTCACTTTGTTAATATTATTTTCAGATTTCCAAGAGAAAACAAATTGATCTTGTTGTTATTCGATCTAAAATACGTTTTGTTTATGTTTCTGTGTTTAAAGTCTAATGTCTGTAGCGTATCGAATAACAGTTGAACTGAGTCATTGAATCAAGTGAGAAAGCTTTAAAGTGAAGTTCGTGAATGTATCAGGTGTTGCGATACCTTTTGTTATTCGCCTGCTCTAAAACATTTAGCTAGAAAAAGGGTATTTAACGAAAGCCACAGAGCAGACTGATCTCTCTCTCTCTCTCTCTCTCTCTCTCTCTCTCTGTCTCTCTCTCTCTCTGCCTGTTTGTTTGTCAGTCAAGTGGCGGCTGTCCGCCGTTTGCTGTGGCCTCGATTCGAATGCAGTTTTGACGTATTTGTCGAATATGTTGAACGGATTTGGTCATTTCATTGCCTAATCTTCCAATTGCGGCACCTTGTTTTGACCACACTTGGGATTTGATTTGCTGAAACAGTTGCATGTGGTATTTGCGGCAATTGCACAATCGATTTCCAACTGTATATCAATGGAATGAAGGCCGTTTGCGAATTGGTTTATGGTATATGGTGTCCTTTATTTGAAATTTGGGATGTGGAAAGTGTGGGAATAACAGAGCTCGGAAACGATTAGTTAATCGGAATTGGAATGGGAGCCTCAGCTGTTGATGGACATTTGGGCATTGGCATAGCGGCGTCCAGGCTGGGCTTCAGTTATCCTTGGCATCCACAAAGTGATCGTCGTCGATGTTGTCGTCGCGCAGCTCGAAGTAGAGCTCCTGGTCTTTAAGTTGCAGCAACTGGGCCTTCTCCTCGGCAGTCGGCTCCACTGCATCGTGCCAGTTGTCCAACACGAGCTTCCTTCGCAGTCTTCTGTTGACCTCATTCGCTGAATGCCTGCTGCGGCGCCGCTGCTGCTGTTCCTTACGCATCTTTCGGCCGATCAACTTCGGTGAGCTCTGCGTCAGTTGCCTGAGAATGATGTTGCCTCCAATGAAGATTCCTACCAGCGCCGTGTATATAAGTATGATGGTGCCCACGCCCGAGGACTCCTGCACCTCGGTCTCATCGTCGTCGTGGTAGTCACAGTTGCAGTCCTCCTCCTCGGCCAACCACCAGCCCATCATGTTCTTGGTCATCTGCCAAAACTGTGTCATATTGCAGCGGAAATTTGAGAGCTTGGGATGGGTAACTATGGAAGCTATGGGACCTATGGGTGCTATGGTAACCTTTGATAGACGTAAACAAATTAGCAATCGCCAGGAATTCGCCGATTCACAAACTCACATGTAATTTTGTGTTCTTCCTGTTGCTGGCCAAAGTAGCACGGAGCTCAGGACCCAGCTACAGTGATGCCTTGATATTTATTCCGAGATATTTCCCATACAATTTGAGTGACTATTACCAAATGAAACTGACACAATTCCCGTAATCCAATTTTCCACCTCGCCTGCTGTGATATGATACTATGACTTGATTTATAATTTATTATATGATGTATTATACACATATATATGTCCTTTNATTGCTCTTTGGACCGTTGATAAGCTCGTCTTAACACCGATTTTATCCCTAATCTTGGTGGTCGATTCATGGGAATTCGAAGCTTCCCGAACTAATGCTCTTCTATTTCCTTCTGAAATCGCTTGATTATTGCCGCTTATATAGTTTTTTCCATAGTTTTCCCTATTTGTAAGAAAATTGCCACTTAGTTTTCTGTTTTTTCCTGTTTTTTCAGCAATTTTATGGTTGCATAGTCTAGATTCAAAGTATGCCTCAATCTTTGATTTTCAACCAAAGATAAAACTGTTTCTTTACCCATACTATAAATATATTGAATGCTTTGAGCTTCACAAAAAATTTGGTGAGTGTAATTGCCAAAATAAGCAAGATAATTACAATTGCATTTGGGGGCGCTAATCTGATGACGCAAAATAAGTGCACACATTTTTTGCGAAAATAGAAAAGAATAGAAAATAAAACATAACGGGTTTTCACTCGCGCTTTTTTTTGGTATGAGAGACATCTCATGCGATGATAATGAAATAAAAAAAAAACCAAGAAGTTGCGTGAAATAGGCAAAGAGAAAAACGTAAAAGAAAATGAGTGTAAGGGGGGGCGCTAACCTGATGACGCGCAGTGTACATATATATATTATGCATACCTTAGTTGTATGCTCTAAACTTAGTAAAATTGAGATTTCAGAAAGATATTTGGAAAATACATATGTATATGTATCAGACAGACAAGAGCTTCACGTAACCCATATATGCATGTATGTAGATTGTGAATTAGGATGATGGGCTGATCTAGCCATGTCCTCTTGATTTCATGTATTATAGATTTTTTATAACTACTCTGCTTTCCACAAAACTCTCAGTAAAACGTATTTCAAATAATAGAGAAGTGTACTTTTTCATATGAATGTGCTCATCATTATCAATAATACACATACATGCATATAGTCCATGCTGTAGCTCATACGTACCTATAGCCTAAAATGTGCTGAAATTGCATTGTTCTATAAACTTCAAGCATTCTTGAACACTCTACTAATAAGCCCATTCAATTTATTTGTATAAACATATTTACTTTCTGACTAATACGAGATTATGACTCGATAAGCAGGCTAGAGAGCCTTGATAATGTTTTAATGCAATTTACCACACACAATACTTGATAATTATAAGTAAATAAAAGTGCCCCGAGCTAATCGCTGGAAGCGCTGATTTTATAGATTAGAAGCGTATTAGATAAATACCTACATACATATATAGACTCAAATATCTCATGCCATGGAATAATTTTTGAAAATTGACTTGTTGCAGCACGACTCGGATCGAGATGGCCTCATCGACGTACACGAGCTGAAGGGTCTCATTTCGTGTGGCCGTTGCCACGATATACCGCCACACATAACCGAGCAGATATTGCGCCGCAGTGATACGGACAACAATGGGCATCTGGATTTTGAGGAGTTCTACGCCATGTCGTTGCACCACAAGTGGATGATACGCAATATGCTGACCAGGTATTGTCGGTATGTGGTGCCACCGCCTCGTCCGCTCGAGGGCGACGAGCTAGACGGCGCGTACGAGAAGCAGATGTCCATCTGTCCACCGCCACTGACCATGGTCATTTTCTCCATTATTGAGATCATCATGTTTCTGGTGGATGTCATTTACTTTCAGTAAGTTCATTGAGATCAATTGCTGTTCATTGTTTTGCTAATCAACTTGGCATTGTACCAACAGGGACGATCCCAACCACAACCAGCGCCTGGGCGAGAGCACCAATGGACCAGCTGCGACGCTTTTCATTTACAATCCGTACAAGAGGTACGAGTCGTGGCGCTTCCTCAGCTACATGTTCGTGCACGTGGGCATCATGCACCTGATGATGAACCTGATCATACAGATCTTCCTTGGCATCGCCCTGGAGCTGGTGCATCACTGGTGGCGAGTGGCGCTCGTCTACTTAGCCGGCGTCCTGGCCGGCTCTATGGGCACCTCGCTGACCAGTCCCCGCATCTTTCTGGCAGGCGCCTCGGGCGGAGTCTATGCTTTGATCACTGCCCATATTGCCACGATCATTATGGTGAGTCCCAAAAAATGTGCTGAAAACAAACCCATTTTAAAAATTTGATTTCCATTTACAGAACTACTCGGAAATGGAGTATGCAATTGTGCAGCTGCTTGCATTCCTTGTGTTCTGCTTCACCGATCTGGGCACGTCAGTGTATCGGCATCTGACTGACCAGCATGACCAGATTGGATACATTGCACATTTGTCTGGAGCCCTGGCCGGCCTTCTCGTAGGCATCGGGGTGCTGCGTAACTTGGAGGTGCGTCGCTGGGAGCGCATTCTCTGGTGGATAGCCGTCATCTTCTACTTTGCCCTCATGACCACCGGCATCATTGTGCACATCTTTGTGCCCGACTACTTTCCCAAGGCCGAATACAACTGAGATCTGGACCAATGACAAATTAGTTTTAAGCCGCACAACCCTAGCCTTAACCTTAGTCTCAGGTTGTCCATGTACATGTCCAAAGTGCACTTGATTTTGATCTTGATCTAGGCCATCCCTTAGCTTGAGTACGTGTAGTTCGATAAGTTTCAATCCATGCTATTGCGGCACTGAATTGTGCCACGAGCGGCAAGCTTTTCGGTTGTTGTGCATCATCATTTATCCTCGTAATACTAACATTTACTATCTCTATATAATTGCGAGTACTTTTCCAACCCAACGTATTTACCCCCTAGCCCCATGATTTCATAACAAATCGTATACACATTTACTATATATACACAGTAAGCAATACAGAACACTTTCTCCTGGAAACTAAACACAACTCAAGTACCGGCTTTGATGTATACATATATATATTTATATAATTTGCTATACACTTATTAATTCATATTTCGAATTCGTATGAATTTACGTTATTAACTGAATCAAACTGCAAATACAATTGTTTTGAACGTAAAAAGCCATACCACACCCTAAACAAGTACCAAAATACATTTCCTTGCCCCTTTTGTAAATACAAATATTCGTTATATTTATTCTGTACGCCTAGAAACAAGAACAAAGTATTTAAAAACAAAGTAAATTTGAAGTCGCCTATCCCCATTTGCAAGGATATTTTTGTACATGCTGTACTTATTCAGCACGATGTTTGAATAAAAACGAATATACATATGTTCTTTTCCATGTTAAATATACGTTAATAATTCCCTACATACTTATTTATTTTTATATCATTTATTTAACTTGTACCGACTATGCTGGCCCCTTTGTCAGGACCTCTGCTTCACGTTAACATCTAAGAAATACTTACTTTCTCATACGCACAAAAGAAAAGATCGAGACAGTTTGTTTCTTAACTAAAAATATAATTCTTCATCGAAAAGAACAGTTGTGCGTTTTACAAGACATTTTCATCTTAAACTAAATACAAAGTCATCCTTCATAGCGATTATTAAAAAATATATACACAGAATTCACAGGATTACGCAATTTCAGTAATAATATATACGTTAGATTAAGATATACTTCTATGTTTTATATATATATTTATA